TGTGTGTGTGTGTGTGTGTGTGTGTGTGTGTGTGTGTGTGTGTGTGTGTGTGTGTGTGTGCTTTTTTTTTCCACCTAGGCCAAGAGTCATGCCAAGAGGGGCATCCGGGACATTAAGGGCAGACTTAAAGCAAGGGTGAGCCACATGGACCTTTACGCCTCCTCAACACACATGCACACATGCACACACTTACACCAGCATACATACACATGAGCACACATGTGTTCGGCTGCACGCTGACAGACACACACATCCTCATAGAAGCAAACGTGAAGGCTGCTTTACATGTAGTGTGTGATTCTGACGCTACGGCTTTTAATGACTGTTGAAGCCTGCTTAGCGCTTTGTTCAGGCTGTACATTTTTAACCAGCGCCCCTCTGGCTATGGCCTGTCATGTCATCCAAGCCCCAGCCCCTCTTCCTCTTTTATTGTCTGCATATTTCATCAGTTAGCCTGTGATTTCCTCAAAGCTAATGTAATGAGGTGTATGTTTCCATAAGCCTGATGGATTTGATAAGGCAATAGCAGTTTGATCTGTCAGTGGGAAACTGAGGAGAGAGGGCACTGATGATGAACAAGAGGAGCACGTGCTGTTCTGCACTGTGCATGTTCACACAAACACACACACACACACACACACACACACACACACAACTAGAGCGGAGGCAAAAAGAGGCTGAACTCTATTTGATTTTGAAGTCAAATGAGAAAAACAAATACATTTTCTTTGAATCTAAATTAATCAGCATTTATTGTTTGTTACTTACTGTCGACACAAACATATTGAGATTAATCTGCTGAGAGGTCGTTACCTTGATTATTTGTAAGTATAAGGTTGGTGAATTATTAAATATATTATTGTCACAAACTGCTTTAGTCCTCCCAGTACTCTCCCTCTTCACTGCTTTGTCTGTGGTTATTAGACACAAGCCCAATGCTTCCTACTGAACATGTGAATCTTTAAGTACAAATCTATACTTTGATTTTTTTTAAAAGCTTCATTTATGTGCTTGAGCAATTTGACTCTGTAATTGAAGCCAAACATCATACAAAGAGAAAGTAATGGTATTTTTTGAGGACTGCTTCAGGTGCAGATTTGACGAGCTGTTTTCTCACTAACAGAACGATGTATGTGGGGTTGAGTTAAATTACAGTGCACATGTTTATCACAGTGAAGGAATATGTCATATGTTTTAATGGGTTTAAAATAACACTTGAGGTCCATGACACTGAGGAACAAGCTGTTTCAGGCTTTAGAGATATATACTTTTTACAATTCATGTATTTTTTCAGTCCATTTGAAATGTATTAACTTCTATGAGGGAGAGTTGTCTTGTGATCAGGTTAATTCACACAGAAATACAGAATATAACACAAACTAACTGATGCTTTAGTTCAAATTATTTATAATACAAACCATCTAAGATTTAAATTCTTCATCTTTCTCTCAGGAAGAGGAAGAAGAGGGGATGCCAGTCTGTGCAGGGTCCCCCACCAGCACCAAGAGCCTGTCTCCAAGGAGACTGCAGAAGATGAGACGGGTATGAGACACACACACACACACACACACACACACACACACAGTCAGTATACATCAGTAAAAGAGTTAACTACATTTACACTGACTTATCCTGGATGCAGAACTTCTGTTCTTTTTCTGCCTCTTTTTCTTTCTCTCTTCATCCCATTTTCTGTCTTCATCCCTCTCCTCTTCCTCCCCTTCTCCCCTCCACCACTCTCCCCTTCTCTTGTAACAACTCTTGGAAGTGCAGCAGTTTGTCAGGGTGCCAAACGTAATGATAAGCATTTTCGTTTCTGTCAACACACTCATGTTGTACATTCAGTATTTTTCTCTGAACAGCACGGACAGTAGAAGCAACTCATCTGCTGGTCAGCATTTCCTCTGAAGAATGTGCTTGTGCACCATACATGGAGAGCACTTTTTTTTTTCTTTGTTGTGTACTGAGCTGGCACACGATGAGCAAGTACGTGCATGCTCACAAAATACACATTCATCAATAAATTTATCAGGAGACTTAAGAACATTAGAAAATTATGAGACCCTGTAGTGCAGCGTAAATTAACATGCTCACTTACATTTCTTGGTGTTGGAAGTTTGGTTTTATGTAATTGAAATTGCACACTGTACAGTACAAAGCACATGCATATAGCCTCAGGCATGCTAGTTATATCTCCCTCTGCATATTGTATCTATACCTCTGTAATCCCAGCTGGAGCTTCTCTACCTCTTATTGCTAAATGAAGAAAAAGGCAAATGGACACTCAATTCTATCTAAAACAAAAAAAGCCTGCATGCACACACTGACATTTTGGTCACAGTCATGTAAGAGTGTGATTAGGAGAGGTTGTGCTGTCTCTAATTAGCATTGTGCTTCCTGTGTGTGTGTGTGTGTGTGTGTGTCATGAGGCTGGAAAGTCTTAGCGCAGAGGAAGGTGTGACGGCCGGGGAGAGGAGCGGCAATTAGGGCTTTTCTAAAGGCCTCGTCGGACCCCCCTCCCCCAGCTCATGCACACACAAAGATGGGCCAACACACACACACACACACACACAGATTAAAAGTTAACATGCAATTGATTTGCGCACAAACACACATGTGCTGTTTTCAGGATGCACACACCCCTGTCTCTGCCACTGAGGCCTGTTCATTGCCACAGTAACGGGTCCCCAGGGACAACTGGAGGAGGGACACATAGTACACAGGATTGCATGTCCCACAGCACTGGTTTTATGTGTTTGTCTTTATCATATATATATATATATATATATATATATAGTTTATCATCTTTTCTTCAGCCATACAAAACACTTGCATTGTCATTTCAACTGCTTATCGTTCCTAATCCAGATTGAGGTAGTCCAGTTTATTTCCCTCATTTAATACTCATTGAAACATTTTGCAAACGCTTCTGTTGTGTGTGTGTGTTCTGTAAAGTCTGACAATCCAAGAATCTCTTCTGTCAACTGAAACCAAGACTGAAAACGGAGAAGGCAAAGAAAGCCTTGATAATTTATGGCCTGTCAGTGTGCAGTAACCCCTGAAAGACTGAAACTCTTCAAAACTCTTGTTTTACAGAGTTTCAAAACAAATGAAGAAAGAAAGAAAGGTTGTTTCTTTTGTTTATGAAATACCACAGGAAAATTATTTGGAAAGAAGATAATGAAATAAAAACTCCTTTTAGGTTTCTGGTGTAGCTTTTTCAGATGTGACACTTTACGCTCACAATGTTTTTACTTTTCTGTGGCTGTTAATAGCACACCATATTTATATTTCAGTTACAGCCCAAAAAATGGTGGAGACAAACAAAACTACGGTTCTTATTCTATCTCATCTCTCTGTCTCTTACCTTTCTGGGTTTTTTTCTGAGATTGCTTCCTATGAAATCTTGATTCTGTTGTTCTGCACACAACTGTCTGGACCAGGTGTTCCCTGCACGTGAAATTGATCTCAGTGGGACTCACCTGGTTAAATAAAGGTTAAGTAACATGAAGAGAAAAAAAAAACCACACACACTTTTATTCTCATAGCTCTTCTTCTCCTCGGGCCCACACACAGACCTTTATTTCAGTCTTGGCAGATTTTTGTCCTGTGTCTGTTAAATCCACAAATCTAAATATGTCCTGATAAGACAATAACAGTCTTAATTTGACAAACTTCCTAAAATATGGAAAAACTGTCTCTTCACCCTTTTTTCCAGAAAAAAAAATGTAAGCATTATATAGACAGAGTTACATATTTGTACACATTCTGTCCTCAGCTACACCCCCCCCCCCTCCGTCATCTTTGCATCCTCATACCTTTGACCAAGTGACAAACAAATGCTCTTTCATCTACCAGATAAATTCAGAAACATGTTGTTATCAGAAGCTCCAAAAAATGTGAATCTGATTAAAGACATTCCAAACTCCCGTATGAAAGAAGAAAAAAAAAAACCAGATACATTTTTATCATTCATCATTTTTAGCAAACACCTCGAAGTCTGTCCTTGAAATGAAATGAATGATCCGGGAGAAGCTCCTTTAATTAATCATAGCAAAAATAAATCAGAGTTAAGAAATTCATATTCCATTTGATCAGTCAACACATGTACCAAAGTGAAAGTGCTGCTGTCATATGCGTATATATTTCAGCTGTATCCAGCAATGTGGGTGATTTGTAGTGTTTGGTGAGTTAGATTAAGAATGTAGGAGTAATCCTTTCGTTTGACAAAAACAAGACTGAGTAGGTCCGCTGACTTGTTGTCTGGTACAACAAACAGCAGCCATTGTTCTGGCTCCTGTAGGCTTTTGAGTGTGTATGTGTGTGTTTGTGCCTCATCTGTTTTTGAGATCCTGTATGTATTATTTTGTATATTTGGTGTGTGCATGTGTGTTGTTTTATGTGTTATTGTGCTGTAAGCACCTGCAAACAGAAAGCGTGTCCGCACCTCAGCCCTTTTGTACACGAGCATGTATTTCAGTGTGTGTGCCCCATGTACACAAACACGTATGCATTTAGCAGTTTGCCTCAGGTTGGAGGCAACAGAGTGACAGCTGTTAAGAGAGCAGAGGGGAGTAGAGGTTGGGACAGTGTTATGGACAATGACAGCCAGCAGGCTTGAGACCGGGGCTCAGCCCCAGGCTCTGGACTCTTCACCTGTTGAGGCAGGAGAGGTGCCAGCCTGGAAAACACCCCACAGCACCATGTGGAGGGCAAACAGGGAGGGAACACAGATGTAGAACAGAGGTACAAAGTCACATGGAGACTTCAGTGGGTAATGCATGGGTGAGAGTGTGTGTGCTTCATCAGTGGGAGACAGCTCGTGTGTTCATGGCCGGTGGACACATATTTAAACTGTACACATTGATTGTGAACTGTTTGTGTGGTGTTCAGGGAACAATACACATTTTTGTGTCGATAATTTCAGCAGGAAGAACAATGGTTTGTCTATGAGTTCACACATACTGTAGTTCTACTAACATTTATATTTGAATACAGTTACACTTCACTTGAAATATTGATCATGATGCAGCTAATAGACAATAAATGTCCATTATATTCAGCAAATGATTGAAATAAGGACAATATGCAAAATAAATACTTTGAGTAAATGGAATAGCTAATATCTATTTCACAGCATATTCATGAACTGTAGATTATAGAGCATATGGTGCGTTTGTTGTAATTCATAAAAATGCAGGTCTTGATGCTTTTCTAAAATGGAAAACATTTCAGATATGCTCATAATATCCATTGTAAGATTAATATTATGGATAAATATTTTAGATGGATAGTTGAGATGCATCACAGTGAACCTTTAGTGCTGTGTGTGTGTGTGTGTGTGTGTGTGTGTGTGTGTGTGTGTGTGTGTGTGTGTGTGTGTGTGTGTGTGTGTGTGTGTGTGTGTTTACATGGTTATTTGTATGCGTTTGTAGTCACAGCCTCACTCAGGTTCTCTCCACCTCATTGACCACAAGCAGCCGCGTCCTTGCTGAAACCAAAGTGCCATCTCCTGGCAGGGTCCAAGTACTGCGCCCGCTCTCTTAGAGACACCTGGTGATTTTTACTGGATGACTTTAGTCGAACAGAATGAGCATAATGCACATTCTCCTTCTTTTATGGCTAATGTTTTTTTTTCAGTGAGAGGGAAGTGAGCTTTCAGCATCAGCCAGTTGGACAGAGAAAGAGCAGTGGATCTTGCCTCAAACGTTATTTTTTCCCCCCTTTCGAGTGAGCAGCTCTTAAACAAGCAGACACAGACTTGGCCATACTTCTGCAAAGGCTCTGCCTTTCCCCAAGGTTTGTTTGCATTTTACCGGCATCTCTTTACATACACTGCCAAGCTGTGAGATCAGTGCCCGCTCAGAAATACCATATGAAATGTATAATGTAAGACTGGCTATTAAAGTCCGCTAGCGTCTGGCCCTGTCACAGAGAGGCATAGTTGTTCCGCATAACCGGTCATGCGGGGAAGGAAGGGAATAGGAGGGGGAAAGTTTGTTTCTTCAAATGCAGAAACTAAGATGGATGATGATGACTATTTTCCCCTCATAACTACATTACTACATGTCATTTTTTTATACCAAATTTAAAGACTTTTTAAAAGGCACCTTAGATATATTCATCCTGTAATTAAATGTTATAACATTAGATAAAGGATAAGTTAGATGTGTTTACAATTTTGCCATCTTATACTCACAATCTACAACTAGAAAGACTTTATTCCACATTAAAGAAAGGATAGAATGTGTTTTTTTCGATTTTATGTCTGTGTATACAATTACAAAATAACATGCCATTACAAATAACACATAACTTTGCGATAGAGGTTATGATCTCAACTCTTTTCCTTTTATTTAAGAAACAAAAGGGGCTTTTTTTCCTCCTCTGTAATATTGGATCGAGCCAGTTTTACTAAAATAACCTGACGATTTTTTTCATTATTTCTGTGACTTGTGTTCCTCTGCTGCGTCTCCCCCTGACTCTTCAGCTCTCTGCGTTCTGTTCGGTCTCAGTTGTGGCGGAGAGGAAGGAAGTGAGCGAGCCAGGCAGACAGAAACAATGACATCTGTCACTGACAGCAGAGTGACAGAGGGGGGAAGACGGGAAGTCAAGTCGCTTTTTCATTTTCACCTTTCAGCTTCCCATTAGCCGACAGTGAGAAGCTAATGAAGGAGCAGTATGATAATCTGTTGTTCTGCTTTTTCATGCTTCCCACTGTCCTGTCAGGTCTGTGGTTGTACGGGAGGGTGGCGGAGCTGTCACGGCTCTAACAGGGGAGTGAGATGATCTCACCGTGGATCTCTACATTTGACTACTTTTTTTTTTTTTACAATGACATAAAATACATCTAATTTTAGATCTTAAATCGAACTGCTATTTTTGGTTGCAACACTTCTGAAGGAGAAGCAACATTATGTTCATATCTGACAAAAGCACACTTTGTATCTCACATTACCAGTAAAATGAATGCAACATGTTGGCCATTTAGGAAAAAGGATGTAAACCAACCCCTGTGCCAAATTTGGCGCTTCTATCGTAAAACGCTCAGTTGCTGTAAATAGTTTTAATCTTAACTGCTGCACTAAAGGGTCACAGTGAAGAGAGGGAATGACAAATTGATAAAGCCGTGAAGAGAGGTACCATCCATTTACTGCTCCCTATGGAACTTCCTCTCAGGTAGACGGCACCAAAGCTGTAACGGAGATCAGAGGGCCAGGCTTCATGACCTGCGTCTGGTTGTGTTTGGGTTCACCTTGCTTTAATAAACACCTAAAACGCAGAGAGAGGCCCTGCGTCCCCCAAACGAACAAATGTAGCACAAATGAACCAACTGAATAGCTGCATGGGCCAAAAACCTTCAGTGCATGCGTTTGTAGTTTTTGTCCGTTTCGCTGTCCGGAGCTCGCCGAGTGTCTCACAGGTGCATCTTCCCTCTGCCGGCCTGCGTTGGTTGGTTGGCTGGCATGTTGGCCTGGCCCCTGATTTACTGCCCTGACACAGGAATCCATTAAAGGCTGTTTAGGGATCCCAGGCCCGAGCCCCTCTGAAATCTCTTTCATTATAGCTCCAAGCTACCATGGAAGGAGAGAGGCTCGGCCAATCAGCGGTGCCACCACATGTGTTCGTGTTTAGCCCGATGGCTGAGAGGCTTAAGTGGCTACTGCACACATCTCCTCCGCTGACTTTTATGGAGAAAATGGCACTTTAACTCTTTGTGTTTTTTGTTGTAATGGGGTGCGTATGTGACTTGAGTGAGTGTGTGTGTGTGTGCATGAGTGTGCATGTGTGTGTGCGTGAGTGTGTGCGGGTCTCTTCACTGGCCGAACACGGGCCCTAAATGAGGCCAGGCCAGTCACACGTTACATTCCGCCTGTCTGGCTGGCACTGTGTCGGCTAATCAAGACCGGCTTGGTTCACGGTTCCAATGCTGACCCCCCCACCCCATCTCCACCATTCCCATCATTCTTTGGGGCTTTCAGGAATCTTTCTTCACCTCTCTACATTTGATTCCTTCCTTTCTTTAGCCCTCACTTTCCTCCTCCTCCTCCTTTGTTTTGCCTTTTTTTCCAACGACGCTTCACCTTTGCTGCAACCGAAACCGCAACACAAACACACAAACCCGACCGTCCTCGCTTCTTAAACACACCTCCTCTGCACTTTTATGGTTGTAAAGAACCTTTCACTCCGCGTTGGTCTTTGATAATGTGGCTAACGTGAGTTTACAGAGAAACGCAGAGAAGAAGAGAGAGGTGGAGCTAAGTAGGTGTTAAAAAACAGGGAAAACATTACCGTGCATACGAATGCACACATTCAGAATGTTAGCTGCGCCCTGTGAGTGCCTTAAAAACACACAGAGACAGAAGCATCATTTCAAATATCACCAAAAACATGGACATAGGAGTGTGAGCAGCAATATATAAGGAAGTAAATTGGCAGAAAGCAAAGAGTGTATATTAGAAAGTGAAAGATTAACATAAGCGAACACACACACAAAGTGAGGGGGGAACATGTGCGTGGCAGTGGAAGGCATGTTAATAAGTGGCCTGGGGGCAGATTTGGTTTCCCATGGGGAGAGTCCTGCCCCGCTCTGTAAAGCTTCTGTCTCTTCTTTAACTCGCCCATTAAACATGGTACACAGGTGGCTTATTAAACTGTGTCAGACAACTACACTTACACACTGATCATTCAACACACCGAGGTGACAAACACAATCACAAACACTGGTGTCCTAATGTAAACGATTTTATGCAGTTTCCCTTATCTTAACTCGCGGTCCGTAAGTCGCTTGTAGTTCACATTTAATGCAGAGTTTGATAAAATACTGCAGGGGATATTAAAGATTTGTATCCCTAGACTCAAATTTGACAAATTTAGTCGCAGCCCTGAGGGTCCATGCTCATTAAAACAAGCTCCTGTCTGTCCACCAAACACAGACCTGCATCTATCTTTTTTCTCTACTATCGAGTCCCAAGTCCTATTTTCCATGAAAAGCTGAACCTCAGCACAACGCCACATTCTGTCTAGACCCCATGTTTCACAGGAGCCTTGTATCTTTAAGCAGAGACTCCCTGTGGGTCCGTTTTGATTGTTTTATCATGTTATTCTTTTTGTCTTAACTACATCCACTTGCTCCGTTATTCTCATTAACAGCAGAACCTCAGAAAGTCTCCCATGAGCATGGACCCCAGAGATCTTGGCTACGGGCTCGATGATGATGAGCTGGACAGTGCGAGCAAGTAAGAACTCCCATTTTTTGACCGATTGCTTCACACTGTTTTGTCAATGAAGTCATTTTCAAGTTGTTTAAAGTTTGCATGTCATGTACGTCAACACAAGAGAACTTTTACTGGCTAACCGATTTAATTTTATTGAGCCTGTGTAAAAGTGTGTTTCCAAGCAGATTCATTCTCCCTTTACTCTTGATAACACTGCCCCCAAGTGGACACATTGAGTAGAAGTATAAAATGTCAGAAATGTCAGAAATGTATGATGTTGTTCTCTAAAAACCATAGTGGCCTTATGAAGAATGACACGACACGTGTAATGATTAACTCCGCCTGTTACTGTGGGTTCTCTCCTCTAAACACAGGATCTCCTCAGAAGACAGCGGGGACGTTCCTTCCTACACAGAGGACAGCGACGACTCGTACTCGCTGGAGCTGGACATGGACCCTTCCCACTCGGGCCAGATGAACCTGCTGGAGGAAATCCTGGACTCTCTGAACACCACGGTGTTGGACCAAGGAAAACTCAGTGCCGCCAAGAGCCTGGACTTCTTCAGGTCCATGGATGAGTTAGACTACAAGACGCCGGTATGCAAAACAGGAGCTGTAGATAAGTTAGAGAGGAGCTAATGATCTGATGGGACAGATAATGAAATCTACATTGTCACTCATACTTAAAACAAAAGATATGATATGTTGCTTCCAGATTTGTAGTGGATTATTTAACTAGACTTTACCCTTTAGAAACTAAGTGATAAACTGTACTTTAATTCTGAAGAAGTAAATTATACCATCTTATTATTACAATCAATGGCACAGATCCTTTATGAAACTACATTTAGCTTCACTTGAATCTGCACCAAATTGCACAAACTAATAATTATCAGTTCCCTAAACATGACCGATTCTTTTTTTCCGATCTCGTGAATTATTAAAGAAAGAAATCCTGGATCTGCACTAAAACTTTATGTTTTCCTTCCTGACCCATATCATATCCTTCATCAAGTTTTGGGTAATTCGCCCTGTAGTTTTTGTAGTAGTAGTAGTAATAGTATTTACTTCTAGTGACATGTATCAATCATGTGCATGGGCTAGTTTCAGCAGCTCACATTGAGGTACACAGTATTTTCAAAGCAGATATTTGGGGACATGTATAATGGTATTTCCTTGATTCTTTGAAAGCAGACCAAGGCTCCCCCCTCCACTGAGTCTTACCCCGCAGATCAAAGTGTTTGTGACGAGGATCAGGGCGGCTGGAATATGGGCCAGGACGACAGCGCTGTCCACGGAAAACACCTCCCACCGTCCCCACGGAGACAGCCCAACAAGAGCAGCCTGAAGGTGTCAAAGAAACCTGCGGTCGCTCCTCCAGTGCCCATCACCACTGTCACACCCCCAGCCCAAGCTGCTGACGTCTCCAGACCCCTGCCAAGTTCTGTTCAGCCCAAATCGGACCCAGCCCCTCACCCTTTACCTCCAGAACGTCATCCAGGACACCGCTTCTCCTACTCTCCCCTACTGCCCCACAAACCTACACCCACTCTGCCATCTCCCACACTCACTCACACTCACAGTTCCCCAGCAGTAGTTTCTCACCCAGACTACTCTCCTGCTCCAGCGGGCCGGCCCCGGACCATTTCAGACCCCCAAGCCTGCACCGAGCCTCCTCAGACCCCGAACCAGACTTTCTCCACTGGCATCCTGAGGAGGAAGGTGCTATCCAAGGAGATTGTGAGGCAATACCACGAAAAGGCCTCTCACAGGCAGGGCAGTAAGGGCCACCACGAGGGCGAGGGGAGCCCATCGAAGCTCAGACAGTCACCTATGGCGGTCCCCTGGGAGAAAGAGGTGTCCAAAGAGGGGCTCCTGGGGCTGGGCCTGTGTCTGGGTCAGAGTCAAGGCTCTGGGGCGGCTGCGGTGCAGGAGCAAACCCTCCTCGAGGAGATTGAGTCCAGGTGTTGCCTCGACTCGGTCCTCCACACCAGCCTGCAGCTCTCCCAGGTTCACTGCAACAACAGTCGCCACCAGGTCCAGAGCAAAGCCACAGAGGAGTCCTGAGGGACGTCAAAGACTCAGAGTCCGTAAAACGCCATAGAAGTATATTCACTGTCATCGTTCTACAACAATTAGCTGCAGTCCTCGAGGACGTGATGAGTTCAAAACCCAGCGAGTGGGAAAGGTCACAGACAAACCTGATGTTACACAGACAGCCACGAAGCTGCTGCACTGCAGAATTCTCCATCAGTCGTCCATCTTTGTTTTCATATGATTCAATTTGTACGTCATGTGAAAAGATCGGACAATGTAACAGACGTTAATTAAGAAAATCTTATCAGTTTATAAAGATTCTGAAAACAAGTGAAAGCAGCAGGACAGAAACACAAACTGAGACATGGGGGTGAGATTCTTTTGTGTTTCTGTAATGTTGTTATTTCAGTTTATGAGATTTTTCACAATTCTATAAATTCAACTCAGAACAAAAGACAAGATTTGTCTGTAATCGTCTACATTTCTGAACAGCACATTCTCATGTGTTGTATTTTTCTCTTTTTTTCATATTTCACAATGCAACACTCGACCCTTGAATTATATTTTGCACAGAATAATATAGCCAACAGTTAACGGAGAATAACGAGGGGGACGACAGCTCTTCATCATGTTCCAAACATTTCACATGGTGAGAATGAATTTGCACTTGTTTATCAATAAATAATACTCAGTTATTACTTCCTGGTACGAAAATAACTCAAAGTCAAACAGGATTTTCTAGAAACAAATGGAACTAATGATACACTGTGTAATTTAATATGTTTTTTATCACCATGCCTTAAGTGGACATGTGATTTGTTAATAATACTCTGGTGTCTTAATCTATAGATACCAATACAGGTACTTTGTAATCAGAATAATGACAGATCGTTAATGCAACAGGTAATAGTACTTAAACAGCACTGTATGTATCTGTATTAATAGAGTAGTTAATATATGATGTGCTTTAAGTTGCTGTTTTTAAATTGCATTCCAGATCATGACATGTGCACGTAGATAAAACCTCTCTCCTCTCCCTGCGCTCCTCAGGACACTTCTGCAAATACACTCAAAGTTTAAAGCCGATCATTTGAAAAAAGCCAGTATCCTTCCTCCGTGTCCTCGTCTTTCTCTTTTCCACTGTGAAAAGACCTGAAACTAACGGTTTCCATTCTCGGCCTCAAAACAAGAAGTAGCTTCTGTAGGAAATAGAATGAGATAAATTTGTTTGTAGACTTTTAAATCCTGGAAATAATTTCTAGTTGATTTTGAGGTTTTTCACAGGATTTGTTGACTTTTCCGAAGAATCCAGAACCTCTTGTATAACTTTTTTAGCGTCTCACATGAGGAAATGCAATCTCTGTCCCTCTAGGTTCGAGTCTCACACTGTAATGCAACGCAGTGATTGACGATTGTACTGTAATAAAGCAATACAGTTCTCCTCAGAGAGTAGCTACATGGATGTAATGTGTACAGAGTCTAAACTATTTCTTTAACAGACTCTCCTGTGGAGAGAAAACGCCATGTCCGGAGAATGTGGGTTCCCATCATTCTCTTGAGTCACCACAAACCCAGAGAAGGAGAAAAAACGAAAGCCCTTTCATGTGCTTGTGTTGGGATTATTACATTTATGGTTCGTTGTTCTTATGATTTATGCCAGACGCCAGTCGGTGTGGCAGTTTAATAGCAGCTATTTCTCCACTTTTTGAGTGCTGCTCTGCGTTAACGATTCGCTCATAAAGTCTTTGGCGTGCTTCTAAAAGCCCAGGAATCAGTCCTAGTAATTCCGAAAAGGAAAAAAAAAACTAGACTCCAGAAAAATCTCTGTACGAGGCTCACTTATCGCAAACAAGCTTATTTACTATGCAAGTACTTAAAATGATGAAAATATAATATTTTTTTCCACATTATATTCTATGACTATGACTTGAAACCAACCGAAATTAATTTCTAGTGAGAATAAACCTCACGTGTCCCTAAATAAATCCACAGTGTGAGCTGAGGTGTGTCTAATGGTGTGAAAGACGGAGTGTGTTGTGCCTTAAACAGTCAGAGTACCATCCTATACAATCACAACAAGGTACAGTGTTATAGAAAGTTATATGCATTGTTTATCGACCACCTTAAATCACACTATGGAACTTCTTTGTATTTATATGACGAACACACAAAAACCCTGATTAGGTTTGTTGAGGAAACGACCTGGACTGAACTTGTTTGTGTAGCTGTTGTGTTCTTGACTTTCAGCTTCAGCTGCAGTTACTCAGTGTTTTTCTTTTTCTTTGCTGCCGTGGTCGCTGGGAAACTTCCTGCCTGTATTGAAGATCTTGGAATTTCTCTGGGTCATTTTTTTCCTCATTTGTAAACTTAGTACTTTAATTGATTGTGATATTAATACATGTTTAGTTTGTGCTCTTCTTCTTTTTCATCTCTCTTTT